ATGTTTTCGGCACCAAATCGCATATTTCCCGATAAAATATGGCAGATGGAAGTAAATAACGTCTACAAAGGTGATATTTCACAGTAATAAAGAAGTATTTGGTTCATAATTGGGTCGTATGGGGTAGTATTTGGTAGTATTGGGTGGTATTGGGTAGTATTGGGTCATAGTCACATGTTTTCGGCACCAAATCGCATATTTCCCGATAAAATATGGCATATGGAAGTAAATAACGTCTACAAAGGTGATATTTCACAGTAATAAAGAAGTATTTGGTTCATAACTGGATCGTATGGGGTAGTATTGGGTAGAATTGGGTGGTATTTGGTGAGTATTGGGTGGTATTGGGTAGTATTGGGTAATTAGACGCGCCCGTTCCTCTTACTTCCGGGAGAAACAATAGAAGGGGAACAACTCTAAATTCCACACAGGAAGTATGCATGATTCTACTTTCACTTTGTAGAACCAGGCGAACTAAGATAGCAAAATCATGAAAATAGGGTTTCAAAACATACTATTTTTAGCTCACTGGCCCGTCGTCCGCCCGGCTTCAACTTTTGACTTTAACAACTTCTTTTGGATACCCAAGAGGCCTAGGGGATGGTATTTGGCCAGTAGCATGCTGGGATAAAGGACCAAATAAGGGATCGAATATGGTAAAACCAAGAGGCATAGGGTACGTGATGATATTTAGCTAGTAATTTAACATGCTGGGATAGAGGCCTTACACGTTTGTTCAAATGGCTGACCTTTACTTATATATAAGGTCACGTGGGTCAAATATGTTTGATTAAAACGTTTAAACAACATCTTCTCAATAACCAAGAGGCTTAGGGTGATGATATTTATCCCGCAGTAATATAACATGCTGGGATAAAGGGCTGTCAAGTTTGTTCAAATGAATGACATTGACTTATATTTAAGGTCACCGGGTCAAATATGTTAATTGAAATCTTTAAACGACTTCTGTATATAAACAAAAGGACCAGAGTGATGATATTCAGGCAGTAGCATGCTGGGACGAAGGGCTACCAAGTTTGTTCAAATGAATGAAGGTCACCGGGTCAAAAATGTTTTATTTGGTCAGTAGCATGCTTGCATACAGGGCCATCATTTCATTTTTCATTTTAATGACCCTGACCACTTTCAATGTCACATTTTGGCAATATGTTTAAACCAGTAAACAAAAGGTCGAGGGTGGTGATATTAAGCAAGTTGCATGATGAGATGAAGGGCTATAGAGTTTGTTCAACGTAATGACCTTGATCAATTTTAAGGTTACAAGTGTGAGATTAATACCAGCTGAGCGATGCAGTCCCATTGGACCTCTTGTTTAAATAAAACAAACTTACAGCAAAATAGTTTTAAGAACAAAAAGTGATTGCTCTCAACTTTTATCTCAAATTAACGACTACCACACGTTTCACTGCTTTCCGGAATATGTATTAGTTTGTTGTTTCAGCTCGGGAATACTAACAAAATTTAAGAATGGAATGAAATGGCAGTGAGACATTTATTTAAAAGTAACCGTGGCTTACATCAATGTCTCACGGCTCTTGGTTTTGCATTTATATACTGGTAAAGGTTGCAGTCGGCGCAATCATGTCCGATAAAAATAGCCGACCAGCGTTCCGTTATGTTATAGGAGTAACCTAGTCTAGATGTTTCGGTATCTTACAAAATAGTACCGTTATACTTGTGGTTTCCCAAAGCCACTACCATCTTGTTTTGAAGCCAGTTATGTCTATCCACACAGCTTTAGTAAAACGAAACTAAACTCTACGTCTCCTAGATATGTAATTGAACTTTAGATAATGCTATTTCGTGGCATTCTATAAGGTTACAGAAGAGACGACATGTTATAATTCCTGTCAACTATTTGTATGAAGACACCGGCCTTGATGCCTCATTGCAGACTAAATTAACGTGGCTGAGTACCATTTTGTTAACTAAGGTAGACTAGAAATATAATGTATCCAGATTACACGTCTGAATTTCAATGTTTTATTGGGTTATTTAAATATGACTTACATGTATCATGGGTTTGAAATTTTGGTTGATCTTACTCGGGTACCGTTTAGGAGTTTGAGCGTATTTACCTATTTTTCAATAGTCAGAGAAAAAAGACTTAGACCTTTTTTTAAAGTACAAGTAATAAAAATTAAACAATAAACATCAATACGCAAACTTTTGAGTGTCATTAAGATAATAAAAAATATCGAACATCTCTGTAACTAGACAAGCAAATATAGACTACAAATGAAGTGTCTTTAACTATGTTTTGAGGGTAAAACAATGTGATAAGTCAGAAAACGAATTCTTTCATAACAATCAATGTACCAATGATTGATGTCAAGTTACAAACTTGAGCCCAAAAACTTCTTGATGATGATTCAAGTGTGACGCACGGAACAAATGGTTTCACTCACAAATACCTCATTTACTCTGTTTGACAAGATCGTATCCATGCAACCAGTTTGATCATCACTCCGTTGCCAGCATGCACGAATTGCTGTAAATCGTAACTCGGACTTTTGCAAAAACGCGTTTCAAATTGCATCTGGCAGAGTCAAGAAATAATTCCCAGTCAGCTTTCGGGGAATGGCCTCGATGACATCAATAATGCTTGTAGTCCTGAATACCGTGTTTCTATTCCATAATTATTCTCTCAATAGTAACCTAATTGTGGAGTTTCCATCCCGTATATTGTCCTCTATTTCACTGATTGCATGTGAAGTTGTATTTTTTCAATTATTGTGGTTAAAAAATGTATTACTTTATCATAAATAAATCTAGAGTATCAAAAACGAAAAAAACACACCATTTTTACATGAAATACTGAGCGTGAAGGTATTTTTTCATATTGCATACCGTCGTGCGTGTGATACAACTTTTCATTGTCTTTTCATATTCGACTCAAATTTATATAAATACATATTGATAACCTAATTAGAAGTTTATTACTGACTTTTTTTGCAAGTAAGTGTATTTACAAATAGCCACGAATATTCTCACAAAATAACCAAATACATTTGTCTTAAGGGTAAATGTTGCATACCGTCACAAGCTTGATTCCGTCACTCGTGATCAGAGCGTGATATAAGTTCACTTGATTTTGCCGCCATGCAAACTATTGCTGACGTAAGAAAGCACCGTCCGTTTTCAATCCAGCATGGCTGCCGAGAAGCAGACTGTCACTGTGTAAGTATGCATGATTGTACCTTTAATGCGTGTCTGTACATGTACCGTTCATTTATTTATCGGTATAAGGGTCTTACAATATTTATATTGCAATCGGGAAACTATAGAGTTACATGAAACACAAAAATGACCACAAACATAACATCCAAATGTCACGTGTTCACAATAATTATCATATATGGCAAACTATAAATTGTCCGTACCGTTACATGATACATTCCATACCGTAACAGGGTTTGGTGTGATGTCCCGTGACGGTACAGACCATGTAGGTTCAGACGGTACAGACATTCTTTTGTTTTTTTATATCATACCTCTTTAGGCAAACATATCGTTTTTAAAGACAAAAAAAAAAAAAAACTGCAAAACTCGACTCAAAAAGGAAAATCAGCGTCGGTGCCGAACTTAGACACAGAGTGGAATCATTTCTGGAAGAAGACATCAACAGTAAGCTAATGTCAGTTAAAAGAGACACTATTACCAGAAACAAAGTAAAAAATACAAAAAACGTCTTTTATGTGACAGCTTGATTAACCTGCGCATAGTGACCATGCATCGATGGCTATATCATACCAAAAATGTTGCAGGCTTATACTATTTTGGGTTTTTTAGGCCGTGACACTTGCTCATGTAAACTTCACGACAATATGAAGTGTTTGGTCTACAGATTGGCAGTTTGTTAAGTTCTTGAAACAGGTAATTTGGGAGGGTTATGCGTTAAAGTATGTTGTGATGTAAATAACAAAGCATTATGTATCGAGAATGTGCAGAATGTGTAGACCAAAAATTAATATTTCCACATGATTCAAACATAGACGAGAACAGGCCGGTGTGGGTGTTTAAGTTGTTTAACAAAACGGAAGAGAGAATAACAGAAAAACCAAATGATTATGCTCACAGAATTAATGTTCAGGTCATTGTTAAAGAAAATAAACATTTACATCTTCACCAGTTACTTGCTGAAACGTCTCAGGTTCTGAAAGGTATGAGTTTTGTAGGCATGCATACAATGTATTCCATCAATACAAAATGCTAAAACATCTCAAGACTCACTTGTGTGAAGATGAGGCAATTATTCATGTTTACTTTTCACAAAATTACGCATGCAAGATGGGGTTAAGTCTATGCATTCCGGTGCATTCCGACACCAAGTTTCGTTACATACAGGTGTGTACTATACTAAAATCGGTACAAACTCATTTTGTACAGTTGCAAAAAGTACTCGACATGATCCCGCTTCCATCTGGGCACACATTTACCCTTTCTTGAAAGAACTAAAGACCTCTAGTGCACAGGTAGGCACGATCCATGTCGTAAGTGATGGACCAACTACTCAATACAGGTCAAGACAATACTTTCATCTGTGTAAAACGCGCATTCAGTCATTGTATGGTTTCAAATACGCTAGCTGGAACTTTTCAGAATTAGGGCCCTTGATGGCATCGGAGCGACGGTAAAACGATCAGCAGATAAACTGGTAAGTTACGGCAAGGCTATTGCAGACGCTGATGTTTATTGTCAAAGAAATATCAAAGCTCGATCTAACCATCAAACTGTACATGGTTCCTGAGGATGCAATGCGCGCAATCGATGGTACAATTCCCACTAGTGTCAAGGCTGTACCTGGTACATTGTCTTTGCACCAGGTGTTAAGTGAGACGGATACACATTCTACTATTAAGGGAATATGTCTTTCGTGTTGCTGCCAAAGACCGAAGGAATGTGAATGCTTCTCACCAAAAGAGGTCCACATCGCAGAGGGTAATGTAGTTCAGCATCCAAGTATGGAACAGACAGACAGCGATGCGTGCATCCATGTGAATTGATGAATTTCTTGTTGCGTTTGAACATGAGTTTCAATTTTTAAAATGTTGCTATTTTTGCTGAATTTATCCATATTACCACAGTATTTAGATAAAGTGTTGTTTTGTATTGATATTTCTGTGTCTTAAATGACCTGTACATGGGTAAAATTTAGATTGATTGCCATCACACACTGCACGCAATGAACACGTTTTAAAAGTTTGTTTTTTGTTTAAAAGCATAATTAAGCAGTGTTTTATTTTTATGATATTGATTGAAAATACACTTTCTGGATACATGGGACTGGCATTTCTCAATTTTGGTACATGTACGTATGCATTTATCACTAATAACTACCTATAATAAAATTTTGAATACAGTTTAAACATTTTTGTTTGTGC